ATTTAGATTATATAAAAAAAATTTTCTCTTAAAACTTTCCTCCTCTGTATATAAAAACATGCATATAATATAATAATTCAATTAATTCCAATTATAAAATTGTAATATTGTTGAAGAAAGCAAATTTATATATAAAAAAAAATTAAAAATTCTGTTTTAAAAAAATAACTAAAAGCGCATACATTATTTATAATAAAAAATTATACATATAATTTTATTATATGATCAACAGTACATTTATATTTATTTTAAAAAATATAATACAATTTTAAATAAATAAAATAAATTTGTTGAGTTTTTAAATTACCCACATTCTTACAATTGTTTCTAAATATTTATAATTTTTTTTTAAATAATTTATGTACTATTTTCATGTTTATAACCACAATAAGAAAAACTTTTTTTTGTTATTTTGTTAAACAGCTATAACATTTTTAAAATGCGTTATATATTTTAAATATGTGAAAAAGTAATATTTATTAACAAGCACAAATTAAAGTTTATACATTTTAAAATTGAGATAAAATTGTATGAGTTTATTAAAAAAAAATTAAAATCTTATATGCCATACTTTATATAAAATACAAGTGCAACTCATTTTTATTTTATTTATTTTTAATAAAATATTTTCTAGATCAGTTTGAAATATATAATTTATAAATTAATAATTTGTCTATTATTTAGAAATATTACCATGTTGTTCGGACACAATTTAAACATAGTAATAAAGTTTATATTATACATATATTATTTTTTATTACCTAAATTCGATAATTTAAAAATATTTTATTTTATGCAATATTATATATTTTTAAAATTTGACTTTAACAAAATAATATAATTATTAATTTTATGCGTTACTCAAAGTGAAAGAAATTCTTCCAAAACTATAGTAATAATATACTATAAACTAAAATTATAAAAAATTATTTATTTTCACTTTATTTTTTTTAACAATATGCTAATAAAATATCATATATATAAAATTCAAATTTAAAAAATTTTTAAAATTTCTTAGTGAATTTTTCTTTTATATAACACTTCAATTTATTTTTTTAAAAGAAATTATTGCTATTTACTATTGACCTTTTATTTTTATTTTTAATTTATTTTTTTGTCTGTTACGATGCAATTTACATTTTTTAAATTATAACTTTAACATAGTATAATAATAGTTTATTAATATTAGTTGGTAGCAAAATTATTTTTTAACATTTTTTTTCTTAATATTGTAATATTTTTATTTTTATTTTAACAATTTTTTATTTTAACAATTATTTTTTTTTTACTATATTTAATTTTATTATATTTAGTTTCATTATATTTAATTTTATTATATGGTCAACCGAAAATTTAATGAATTAAAATAATATAAAACATATTTTTTTTGTTGCAGTTCACTACTTTTCGAAAAACCATTTTATTATATATAATTTTATTATATTTTCATTTCATTATATTTAATTTAGTGATTTTTCATTTTATTTTATTATGTATTATTTTATTATATTTTATTTTATTATATTTTATTTTATTATATTTAATTTTATTATAATTTATTTTTTTATATTTTATTTTATTATATTTAAATTTATAATAATTCATTTCATATTTATTTCAATTAACATTAATTTTGTTTTTGATAATTATTACTATAGCCATTTTTTTCTGCAAATATGAAAAATTAATTTAATACTAAAATTTGAAATTTCGTATATTAAATTATTATTACAAAAATAATAATAAAATAAATGTACATCTTCATTTTACTTTTTTAAAAATAATATAATATTAAAATTTATTTTATTTAAAATATCAAACAGTGTCTCTATAATAATTACATGTCTGTATTTTTTGTATAAAGTGGTGGAAATTATAATTTAAAATTTTAGTGTAATATTTTTATAAAATAAAAAAAAAAAGTTTTGTCTTTTAAATTATATTATATTTGTATAGTCTATAATTTATGATGTACTATCCATTTTTTTTAAATTTCAATCAAATCATTTAAATAAATTATTTGTTTTTAAATTTTTTCTTATATTAATATAATAATAACTGTTCATTACTTAAATTTCAGTTTAAAAAGATATTTAAAATATAATGTTTCAAACACCATTATTTTAAATATAATATTTATTTAAACTTATTTTTATTATAAATTATTAGATGGTTGATAATAATTTTTTTTTGTCGAGGTAAGATGCTATGAACTATTTTTATTTTCTCTATTAATAATTAAATAATGAATTTTAAGTGGTTTTTGATTACTTGTTGATGCGGAATTACCTTTTAATTTATTGAATATCAACAGAGCTCTTCTGTGATTCTGGTGATTCTATTCAAATAGATGGAAGGGTCTCCATTTTAAAATTAATGGACTTTTAGTTTTTGTAACTTATTTGGCCTGCAAATATGTGACAGCTTTTCCATAGTCCTTCATTTTGTTCGCATCACTATAACAAATTGTTCTTAAAGCAGTTGGAGTTTCACTCAGAATTTTCCCAGTGTCAGCAGGTTTTTCGCCAAGTTTAAAACGTTTTAAAATGTCTATCTTTTATTCAAAGAAAATTTGTTTTCGCTTTTGACTCACTTTTATACTTTATAAACTAGAAATTAACCTTTTCATTTCACTACACAAATGTAAACTGACACCTTTTAACAAAAAACTTAATACCTGTAAATCCTCTTTTAGAAAATGTGATCCACAAGAAATAAAATGGGATTCCCCTTTTTATGCATACATTAAAAAACGTCATAAATCGAAACCCTATCGATACAATTTGAAGCCAAAATTTATTTTTTTTTGGCGACACAAATAGATTCAATGCAAATCGTGATGACTCAAATCGAGACGACTCAAATCGTGGTGACTTAAATCGGGGCGACTCAAATCGGGGCAAATCGAGGTATTAGTGCATTACTTTTTTTTAAAGAAATAGTTATAAATAAGATGCCCTGTACATGGAATACAAAATTTTTTTTTTAAATATTGAAAATGGAACGTAATTTCTATTTATAATAATTTAATAATTATAAAATATTTTATTGTTTTATGAAGTGTAAATTAATTAAATTAATTAAGCAACCAAAGTTGAATTAAGTTATATATGTTAAAGTATTATGGCCTTCTTCTTTAATATAATTACGACCTCATGTATTTTAGATTAAACTGTGCCTGTATAGTTGACATTAATTGTATTAAGTATAATTTTATTTAATATATGAATCAGATATATAAAAATGAATAAACTTGTTATAAATGATGAAGTTTACAATTCCTTTGATAATAATAATAATTGCGCTATAATTTAAAAAACAGTAATAGTTAACAAATATTTTCACGCCATTAAATAAAATCTGTTTATAATTATATATATTCTATGTCACTGAAAATTATTTTCTTAATTATTAACCATCTAAATTATAACTCCATTTGGTGGCACAAACTTATTGATCCATAGCCTACACCAATTAATTTTAAAGTTTTTTTATTGATACTTGTAAATTTATTTGTTTGAAAATTTAAACTAATTAATATTAAATAAATTATAATTTCTACCACTGTGTAAAAAATTATATCTTGTTTAGCTGATTATATGTACTAAAGTTATTAATTTATATATATAACTTGTTAAAATATTTTATATTATTTTTTAATTATTTAATAACCTTGATTAATTATTCATAATTAAATAAAAAAAACTATTTACTTTTAATTTGGATTTTCAATCAATTTATTTTGTAATAAAAACTTTATTACAGGTATTATCGTTCTGGTAAAAATCCTAATAAATTAATGCAATTTAAATAAGTGCTAACTTTCTTTATCTACTTCGGAAACTACAATCCTAATTTGAGATGTTATTTCATATATTATATCATCTATTATCTGTCTATAAGATGAAAGATTTATCTATAAGATTTATCTAGATAGAATGGAAAACAATGCCTGCTCTATATCTTTCTTTGAGGTGATCAGCAATAGGTTTGCATGGTTTTAAGAAATTCGAATATTTCCTAAGACCACTGATAATGAGTACTTGATAATACTCGAAACAGCGTCTGCCAAATTTCAATAAATTAAATAAAATTTTTGTCCTTGACTTTTCTTTGCTATTCGAATCCATCTAACTTTTAAATAGTTTCTTTTCTCGGCAGGAAAAAAAATTAACAAACTCTAAATATTTTTTGATGTGTTTCGGACATAGCACTACACTACAATACTGTACTGTTTATTTTCCTTCACTGGTTTAAATCATATCAGACTCGTTACTCTATTAGAGTATAGCATTTTATGGATATATATTTGGTGTCTAATTACTAAGCCTTCTGAATTCTGATGTCTGCCTTCCCCTTGATAACTGGAATGGGTTTAAAGTACAGTATTTTATAGGTATAATATAGATAGAGTATAGTATTTTTTTGGATGTATATTTGTTGTATAATTACTAATTACCTTTTGAGTTCTGATGTCTGCCTTCCCCTTGATAACTGGAATGGGTTTATAGTACAGTATTTTATAGGTATAATATAGATAGAGTATAGCATTTTTTGAATATGTATTTGTTGTCTAATTACTAAGCCTTTTGAATTCTGATGTCTGCCTTTCCCTTGATAACTAGAGAATAGGGTTTCAGCTCATGATTATAATGGTTCAGTAGCTGGAATTTGTTCATTTTGCATTCCTTACTAAGCCTTCTGAATTCTGATGTCTGCCTTTCCCTTGATAACTAGAGAATAGGGTTTCAGCTCATGATTATAATGGTTCAGTAGCTGGAATTTGTTCATTTTTCATTCCCTAGAGGTGGTTTTAGCGGATTCAAGTCTCACACTGTGACCTTATCATCTAAGGTACTTCCACTTACCGAAGCAAAAAAACTATATTATATTATATTAAGTAAATAAAATCTGTAAAGTTATTTAAGTAGACATTGATTTTTAAATTTAAATGTAGTTAATATAATATAGAAAGAAATTTTAGTTTGAAATGAAGTAAATAAAAATTTTCAAAATAAAATAGAATTCGTTTTTGGTTCCGTTTTGGCTCTATTTGGCGAGTAATTTTTCTTATACTGATGCACTTCTGAAAAAACTTAAAGCTTACTTTGGCATAGATTACCTCTGAAATATATTTTTTTAAAACAGAAAATATATTTTTGTAGTCTTTTATGGTAAGCAAGCCAGAGCTTGTTTATATGTCAATATTAGCCTGCTTTTTAATTTGCTAAACATTGGGCTAACTTTGTTATAAGTCACTAAAATCACTAAGTAACAGATCGTAAAATGGTGGAAGAAGAAGCACCAGAAAAAGAACCCGGACTTCCAACTATGGAGGAACTTGATGATACTGGCGAAATTGAGCTTTTACCGTTTTACAATGATGAGGACCTGTCTAGTGAAAATAGTGACGATGATATTGAAGGTATTACTTAAGGTAATATAAATACAAATATATAAAAATCATTTTTTTTTCTATTTTTGCAGACTTGACTTCGGAAGCTTCAGTAAACGAGAATATTGAATATATTGCATCAAATAATAACGCTGAGTTAGAGTCCACTCCAAACGAGGATCAGAATATTTTGTGTAAAATCTGTCACATCAATTGTGGAGCAAATTATGATACCATGATCTACATTATAAGTTTCCCTTCTGAAGAGAATGACATCATTGAAATATCTTCCCTCTTTGAAGAATCGTCTTGAGGTACTTCATCGCTTTTTTTACACCTTTAGGATTTAGTTCAATTACGATGAATATGAAGCTTTCTAAACTTTTTGTAAACGCCTTAACGATTAAATTGATGTCTTGAAACGTATAAATTGTAAGTATTAAGCAAAGTAATCATCGGCATTGTCATCTATATTAATGTTACAATATTGTAGAAGTGAATGATGTGAAAAAATTGGATTGGACTGAAAATGAATATGGAAGCCTATAACGTAAATAATAATATTTTCTTAAAATTTTTTTTTTAACCAAAAGTGACTGATACTCGTATATATACACACAACTTTGGCTAATAAAATGCAAAATATACAAAACTGAGAATCAATTCTAATAATATTTTTTTAATTCAAAATTAAACACTTAAATCGCAAGACTTTGCAGTAAATCTTATTTTTTTGGAAGTAATAACTGATCTGGTAATGCCATTCATAAGAGCTGGTACTTCAATCATATGAAGTTATGGTAATTTTTTTTTTTTTTATTATATTATTAAAATTGCACCTAGTCTACTTAAACTAATTAGCAAAATATCGAATGACATGCTAAGAGATCTTAGAATAGATTCGGTCAAAAAATACATAAGGGACAGAGCTCTGAAGCTATATGCGAAAACCGACAGGCGGCCCTACTTAACACTATCTAATCTCAGAGTAATCACTAACCGCATGGGACGGTACGCAGATTTTAGATCAGTTATTGAATAATCACGAAGCTTATTAGGAACACACAAATTAGTCAGTGAGATGGGCAGGACTCTGCAGAAATCCCCCAATCATCATTAACCGCACGGGGTGGTACGCAGATCTTAGATCAGTTATCGAATAAACACGAAGCTTATGAGCAATACTTAAATTAGTCAGTGAGATAGGTGGGATTCTGCAGAAACCTTTCAACTATTAAAGAGTGAAAATGCCCAGATGCACTAACAAGGCTTAACATAAGACTTATAATGATTAATGTATTTGGATAATAAATCAAACGGCTTAGTTCGTTTAAGTCGACGTATTAGTCCTTCTGTTTTAAGAAGGGATGATGCTTCTGCATTAAAATGGTGCTGAAGCCTCTGTTTATGTACTGTAATATTTAATTAAATCTGCTACCGTTGGCATGTTTAAAGGACGATGTAGGTCACTATTGCGGTTATACTAAGGACCATTGGCAATGACTCTTAGCATTTTGTTTTGAAAGCGTTGGATTAATTCTCTATTTGAGGTAGGTGTTCAACCCCACAGTTGTAATCCATATGTGCAAACAGGTCTCAATACCTGATTGTAAATCATAATTTTGTTTTCCGCTAATGAATAGTTATGGTAAATGTATGATTGATAAGTTATATGACAGGTGAAGTATAGTATGAGCTCTTATCAGGACACTCATATAAAGTTGTTTTGCATTAACCTGAGTATTATCTTGAAAAGTTCGATGTGATAATACTTACAAAGATTTTTTCACTGGATTATGAAATACTTAAGATTAAATATTTTTATTAAAAAATGCTTGATACAAATATGTGAATAGTGAATAATAATGCAAACATATCATAACCCATTCATTAGATTGATTATCTGCTTATTATTATTTTGTACATGTTTTCGCCCTAAAAAATACACAATCGAAACGTGCCTATAATCTAGAACGGAATTTGCAGTGTTTTGAACAGAAACTAAAACCATAATTGATTGAATTGGAATTCGAATTGAAATTGGAATTGATTAATCGTTTCTTGGTTCATTAGTTCAACCATAGCAGCGAGTGGCCGTCCTTTTCATATCTGAAATACAAGTATCTGCCTGTGCGGAAGCTTGTTTTTGTGCTCATGTAGATATATGATTCTAATTTTATGGTAGCTTATTTATTTATTTGTTTGTCTGTTCATTGCTGGCTTGTTTGCGTACATGTAACCAACTAAACAATTAACCACAATTATGCAAAACTAATATCTGAAGCCGAGATACATACACTATTTGGAGCTTAACATTTTGCATGGAAATGCGATACAATAGCAGCGCATCAGTGGCAGCAAAAACATCGTTTGATAAACGTGAACAATTGTCAAATGGCAAATTTGAAGCCATAAATTATCAAATTCTCACAATAAAATTACATAACATGTACGAAAACTATTTTTGAAAATGCACGCATACAAGCCGAACGGCCAAAGGACCAAAACTACATTGAAACATTGAATTTAGATAGAAACCCAGCGGGATTAGAATAAGTGAATATATGTTGGGAAAAGGTCATTTCAAGATGTCGAGTGTTTCTTTTTACAAAATTTTTAAACACAATTGAGACTATTATTGACTTAACTATATAGTTTGATAAGTCTGCTGGATGGCACATGGACTTAACATATAAATTCAAAAAACTGGCGATACTTCGCAAAATTTCATGATATTTGAATGATTACTCATTAAGTCACATCTGTTTTAGTGACGCTACTTTTTATACTTTCAAAACAATGGATTCCAAAATCCCGTGATAGCAAAATTTTACCTTTAGAAGTTATAACCCGGTTCTACTCCATCCAGACAAATGGTAAAGAACGCATTGGTCGCCCAAACAAAAAAAAAGTGGTGACACCGACAAACATCAAGTCCAAAAAAATTGTAAGGTGAAGTTTCAAGAGATAGCTGGCACTTTAAAGATCTCAAAAGAATGTGACGGCTTCATTTTGCATGAACATTTGTCCACAAAAAAGCTACAAATCGATATGGGTGTCGCTTTTACGGACAGTGGACTTAAAACAACAAAGGGTTGATGATTCTGAGTGCTGTTCACAGCTATTGAACCTGTTGAAGTGAGATAAAGATTTACACCAACTTTTTACGAAACTTGGCTCTATAACGTCATTCCAGAGTCGTATCGGTAGTAACTGAGTGTATAGCAGGCGACAAACCTCACAAAAAGGTTCGAGTCCAAAAACGAAAAAGACAGCTAGCAAGGTTATGGTGTTTATATTTTGAAATGAAGAAGATTACGTTGCTGAAATAAGTCAGACTTTCCAAAAAGTTGTTTTATTGGTTATCTTACAAACTTATCAGTCGATGTGTTATATGTAAAGAATATAAATATATAAACTGTATCTTGACATATTTTAAATATTAAACTAGATACGGGATAAACACTCTCAGCCATAATCCGCGATATTTTGAAAGGAATCCAAACAAAAAGGCAATTTACAGTTCTACGATTTTATACCTATAAAGATTTTAATACTTAAAGAATATAATAGCTATAAAAATTAATATAGTTGGAGTGTTAAATAACTGACTTTCCACTCGGTTAAATTAACTTTACCATAATTGAAATAAAAGTCGAAAATATTAATTATTTATTAAAATATTTATAAAAATAATAATAATACTTATCTCATCTGTCACTGCTCGGGACTTGCCAGAAGGCAATCATGGCACATATAGGTAGATTCCTTTGCCGTCCGATATTATTAAACTAAACATAATACATAATAACACATTTCTTTTTAACGGATATTCATAGTAGTCAGTGGTAACATTAATAATACTCTGAAGTATTAATAAGGTATTTCGTGTTAATTAATCTCATATTTTGCTTGCTTTTTACTTTTCGGAGTACTATGGTGGATCTGTACTTAACTGTGGTGGATCTGTACTTATGAATCTGTCTAGAAATTATACTTTACTATTCACTTTGCTAAAACCATTTTAACATATCGTGTGATATTTTTAAAGAAATTAAATTCCGCATCCATGTTCAGTAAATGTAGTACCATTTACTGAAATTTTCTTATATTCAAATTTTAAAGCAAAAAATTTTGAAAGCGAAATATCCATATCCTCTTCAAGCTGTTTGAACAGCATTCAATATGATGGTTTGATAAAGTGTATATATTTTCGTCAGTGGTCTTAGTTTTTGGCTTCCATAACAATTTTCACTAATCATTTAAACCTCAACGGTCACACACATTTTTTACTATTGCTGATCTCTCCCGATTGTTATTCTTCAAATTTCCCGCTGGGGAGCTTCTTAAACATTCTAACATCCTTTTGCCTATGCGATTTGAAGGTATCATGCTTTCTTGAGTTTAGATTTAAGCTAAGTATAAGTAGATAACTTAAAAACTTGAACTAATTTATTTGATTTACTGCCAGAACTTTGATATTAAATAAAAAATATTTCACAAAACAGTACAATACAAACTTATTGATACAGTAAGTAACGTCTTCATCTTAAGTTTAGATCGTAAACTTAAGACGAGTAACGTCTTAAGACGAGTAACGTCTTAAGTTTAGATCTTAAAAAAGTATAAATTGAAACTATTTATTGAATTTCTTCTCTTAGAGAATAACAATAATTATTTCAATCTAAAATTCATTACAGGTTAACTATAATAAGTAGTTTCCATTTCTCGGTTCTCTACTTATTTCTAATTGGACTGGGAGCATAATAGAGAGGTGTGTGTTCCATGAACAGGTTGTTTAATAAAGGATAAAATGATAAATAATAATTTGAGTTTGGATTCAAATTATGGCGGGAGAGTCAGATATTTTTAGGCTAGTTGTAGTAGCAAGTTTTCTGACGAAAGAGTTAATATGGACCAACTTTTCTCAACGGTATTTTATCTAATGTTAGAGAATTCTAATTTGATCAATAGTACTCCAAGATTTATGTTTGCTCAAATAAAAAATCACATTTACGCAATAGTTTTATAAAGAGATTTTTTCGAACAGTAGTGAACTACAACAACAAAAATTCATTTTTATATTATATTAATTAATTGAATTTTTAGCTGACCATACAGCTGTTTTGAGTATTGCCATATACCCATCATCGGTGGTCTTAGAAATAATTCTTGCATTTAATTATTCGTAAATAATTTTTTGAGACTGCAAACTTCAGGAATCGAACTCTTGTCCTGCCAATAGTTTTATCAATGTCAATTTGTGTTGAACCTATAATAGATTTGAGTGTTTTTTTTAAAACTTGAGTATATCTGTCTTTCCGTATCTGGGTTGAGCACTGTGGGTTGCTTGAATAGGTTCGAACACAATATTATGGCATAGCATTTGCGTGATATGTATTTTGAACCGGTTGGCTGTTCGAGCAGCTGGAACATCTTGGATTGAATTACTAATCAAATTTTATTTTATTGTCTGAACTTTGCTATTAGGTATGAAAACTCTATTTAAATGTCTTCAATGGGACTTGTAACAGTTTTGGATTTTTTTAATGGTAATTTTCGATTATTTATTAGCAAATAGCTGGCTGTAGGTAGATTATGACTTAACTGGTATTTATTTCC